GGTTCTTCCGGTGGGCTGACAGTCCCTCATATGACACGGCCAGCAGTCATGGGAATCCGGTGTTTTCTGACTTTGACAGAGCAGATGAGGACAGACGTAGCCAGAGTCTGAAATTAAACATTTTAATATTTCTGATTCTAGTTGTACTCGTATTTGTACTTTTTTTAGTTATCTTGGTACTCATGAGGGTGTGAGTAATGTATGACATCTTCTACTTCTGTGATGATTTCATGTTTCTGCATATGATCCAGTACTATCAGTAAGCTATTCTGAATAAGCTGCCCCAAACAGTTCTATTACAAAGGGGCATGAATGTCATTTAATCATCAATAAGCCATCTTGAATAAGCTGCCCCAAACAACAAGACAGATTATTCTGATAATCTGCAGATTATCAGATTATCAGAATAATCTGCTTATCAGCAGATTATTAATAATCAACAGCTGCGCCAAACAGACCCTTAATCACAAACATCACAAAACAACAATTACAACTAAATTAAGATCTCTATCGGATGATCAGGAACCCCTCAAAGGAGGTAACCTAGGGTTGCTAATGAGGCTTTCCCACGGTCTAATGAAAGTACGTAACTCATTAAGTTGAGTTTAGTAAATTCATTTAGACTAAATAAATCAAATAGAAAATAGTGGTGCCAGAATGAGACAACCGTAAGATCCTAACTGGTGTCACTCTAATCAACTTTAATATGCCCCATAGCATTTAAAGAACATTTAACCCATAGCATTTAAAGAATCATAATCATAGGAACATCTGATTTGACATTATAACTTGACACATTATAAAACTTAAACTCATCACGAAGAAGAGCTTGGAGCTAGCATTGTGGGCAACACGATCATCTCCAACAACAAGAGGATCTACAACAACATATCTTTCCTTAAAATTAAACAAGTCATAGAATTTCGAGATTGTTTGCTTATGCAACATAAATCCTCACCTCATCTTTAGTCATTTGTATAGTTCTGCTGTACAATATAAGTCCTAACTAGTCTTAGGATTCTGAGGTTGTTGTTCGTCACGACCTAAACCCTCACATCTTCCAGGCGATTTGTGTGATCGTTTCATACAAATGCAAGCCTAACTAATAAAATTGGAAAGATGAAACATCTAAATAATTTCTCCTCAAAACCGAAGCCAAACAATAGGATGGCTTGGAAAGTCATCGAGTTTCTCCTCCGGATCTATGACATCCCTCAGTTCTTCCTCCTTTGAACTCAACAATAAAATGTTCAAAATTTGAGTCATTCCCCTTTCACACCTCTATGTCCAATCTCATTGAAAAATCCTATCATTTTGACCTCTTTGAAGATAATATTTCTTCATTTTTATCGAGAGTTTTTTTTAGGTAACTTCAGTTGTCTAAGATGTAATTAACTATAGGGGCTTGCTCTTTATAGGAAGCTTTTCCGAACCCAGCTTAATATAAATCATATTTAATTCTTCATATTAAATAGGGGAACTTGTCGGCAAATAAAATGGTTTCGCAGACCAAATGGATGTCATATATTTTTTAATTTATTTGATCGAGCATCACCCTCAAGTCTTGTGTTTATCCTTCGGGATAGATACAGGGTTTGAGATATAGTGTTCTTTCATTTAAACTATGGAAAATATGGAGTCGGTTTGATTTCATATTTTTCTATATTTTTCTAAAAAAAAAAAACTATATATATATACATGTAAATTAAACGTCTTTTCGAAGCGGGCAACGAGATTTCGATTCCAGTGGCCGACAGCTTCCAACGGGCAACTCCACACCCCCAAAATAGTGTCGAAAGACTCCGAGGCTTAGAGAAGCCTTGCTCGGGGATTACATCTCAGTTGCGATAACATTCTACATACCTCTGTGGCCTCTCGATTTATGAATCAGGACACATCAAACCCTTCTTCTTCTGGTGAGACTGTCCTCATTCCTCTTCTTGAAGGCATAGTCAAAAAATGAGGAGATAATTTTCTAAGGAAAAGGGAAAATCTAGTAGGGCTTCACAGCGAAAAACAAGGCGCACGAACTTGTAAGGTCATGTCACTTATTTATAGGCAATCAAGTGCCGCGATGATACACACAGCGTCGCGATGCTACTCACGGCCCTTCGATACCATACACGATGCTGTGATGATAAACACGGACACAAAATCATTTCGATTGGCCTTGAATGCCCTTTTAGATAACATGTCGCGCTGCCACCGCTCGGATGTCAAGGCGCTCCACTGCTTGTGGCACCAAGGCGTTACAACCATATTGAACTTGCTTGAATGCGAGCTTTAGAGATTTCCAATATGCATCTAATCACATGCAAAGCCACAGCGCTAGGCATCGGGGCCGCAATGTTGTGCCCTAATTTGGCATTATGCTTCTAGCTTGGCTAGTTGTGCGCGTCTAATCCCAACAACACTTTGGAATGACCCAACAACTTCAGAAAAAAGCTGACGCAAACAGAAAGTTAATTATAAATTAATGACTCATTATTCTATGCAATTTGGGCTTACAACAACATAAAAAAAATGATGCTACTGTATAATTAAACGTATAGAATAATAAGCCATTAATTTATAATTAACTTACACTTTTGGCCTTCTAATACCTAATGCAAAACTGTAAATGGTTATTATAATAAGCAGAACTTTAAAGAAAGACTATAAACGGTCATTATTTAAGCAGAAAACTTAATTACAACAAATCTTCTCACTAAAAAACTCAGAATACTATCATAGACTCAAAGGTTGGGAGATCAATCAACTCTTATAAAATCTAAGAAGCTTCTCCCTTTATTACAAATTACTCAAAATAAAAATATTTATTGGCTCTAAACACTCAAATAAAAAATAAATTAATAAATTAAAAAGTCAGAGTAGTTGTCTTCGGTAAAATCCCTACATTTATTGTCGCATTTTTGAGCGATTATTGCGTGCGGAGAGCGCACGCACCGATCACCGCCGCGTCCCACTGTCATACAGCCGCGATGCACGGCTGTGATAGGAGAGCGCACGCAGCTCTGCGTGCGCTCTCCGCACACAATAATTAGACTTTTGCGTCTTGTGGCATTATCTAGTACTACAAGTTAGGGTCTTTTGCATGCATAACACCCAATTCCATTGCATTTAATTTTACATTTTATATTTATATCATCAAAATTTTCATGACAAAAAAGAAAAAAAAAACACCATTTTAACTATTAAAAAGCCAAAAACACTTTTTCATGCACAGGTAAGGTGATATGTATGTAAAAATTGAAATTTTAGCGTTAGATGTAGGAATACATAGGAATTGAGTGGCATTTGTGTAAATCTTCCTAAATCTATTTATCCAATTCATATTCATATCAAAAAAATTGTATTTCCTATGTTCCTATGCAAGTAGAAAAAATAATCAAAAAAAGATGAAAGAGATCTGCTAATTAAAAAAAACAAAGAAACTATTTATACAAATACAATATCATTGTGATGTACAAGAAGATCTAGAAGCTCATATGGAGTAGATAACTAAGAAAAAAAAAAGCTCCCCATATAATTAGTATTTGTTTTTCTTATTTTTAATGAAGCAAAAGACAAATTGTAATAAAATCTAGATATAAAAATACAAGAATTATTATTATTAGAAATTAGCAAGCATCACTTGAGCATGTTCAAATGAGATGAGATGGATCATTCACATTATACATAAGATTGTGAGAGATACAATATAAGGGGCATTTATATACATATCACACAAATCTTAAATATTTACATATCTAATATAAGTACATGCACAGCACACAATTTTTTAACTTCACATAAAAATTACTAAAACAACCTCAAAATAAAATGCATGTTTTCATGTATAATTTTAGGACACTAAAATGTTATGAAGATAAATATAAAAGTATGGGTGTTAGATATATAAAAACATGAGAATTATTGTGTAGTATGCATGTAAATTTCCCAAATAAAAAACACAGTGCAATTTCCAAGAGTATATATAGGAGCCTTTCCCCTTAAAGCAGGGAGCTGTGCTCGTAGTTTAAATGCACTCAAGCAGAAAAGTAAGGAATTATATTTTCTACCAGAATGCAAATTTTAGTAGTGACAATGCAAATTACATTTCTCTAATCTAAACATAAGTGATTTAAACTCAAATCCTCAAATAAACAAAAATGGAAATTAAGCCGTTTCTTCGAGTTGATAATTCATTAAATAGCTAGATAATGACTTCGCAATCTGAAAATATTAAATATACAACTTGTATCTTTTGATAAACATAAAAATCGTATGTATTTGTATATCAACCTACATGTTTGTAAAATCTACAAAATGTATACAAATTTGAGCAACCACTATTCTTTTAAAAGCTAAATGATATAGAAAGGTAATTTTCATACCTTGCCTACTGGAATTTGATGATTTTTAGACTCCGTTGCGGCTTCCGAATCAATCTCGTTTTGTTATCACTTGAAGATATAAAAAAACATTAACTACTGAGAAACCGCAGCTTAACCTTCAGGCAACGACCGGCTTTTACGAAAAAAATGACAAAATGATGATGAACTGATAAAATGAGAGGGTGAAGTGAACTCATAAGAATGTACTCCATACAGCTCCATCTCCTTCCCCACATCTCGCATGCACATCTTGGATCCTCTCCACTGACTTGCAAATTCCACTGCAATTCCAATCAAACGATGCAACGCATACATTCCCTGCTTGGGCCTTCCATTCACAATCTAAAAGAAACGCAAATGAAAACAATAATAAATTTTACATTGCAAATTGATGCAAGATTACAAGAGAGTCTTAATATGATGCAAGGAATAATTGTATGATAGACCTTGTAGGAATGACAGCTATTGAAATATAGGGTAGTGGAAGTCAGATTTAAGAGATTTGAACATTTAGAAAAAAACACTTTTGACAAAGTTCCAAGAGAAGCACTTTGGAGAGCTCTAGAAAAGAAAGGTTAGGGATCGTCTTTAAGCCCTTATCTTTTTGCCTTAGTTATACTGTTCATCTAATAAAATTCTATGCATACAAATTGAAGGACTAATTTGTTTAATATCTGCTAAAGTCCATCCAAAAGCCTTTTTATACTTTTTTAATATCTCTATCAACTTTTGTTCCTGAATTTTAGTTAATCTCAAATTTAAAGACGCAGGCACGTCGTCTTTAAGCCCTTATCTTTTTGCCTTAGTTATGGATGTCCATAATGGACATTTATTTAAGGATGTACTTTGGGGTATGCTTTTCGCTGATGATATCCTTCTTGAGGATAAGACTTGAGAAAAAATTCAGGAAAAACTAGAACTACGAAGGTCAACTTTAAAATCTAAAAGCTTTCATTTGAATAGATCTAAAACTAAATACCTGGAATGCAAGTTTAGTAGTAGTAGGTCTACTAACGGGGTTATAACAATAGTTGACCGAGTCATTAAAGGGAGTGAACATTTTAGATATCTCAGGTTTATTGTTCAAAGTGATGGTGATATAGATGAGGATGTTATCAGTAGAATTCAAATTGGATGGATGAAGTGGATGAGTGCAACAGACTTATTGTGAGATAGAAAAGTAACTCTTAGACTTAAAAGGAAAATTATATAAGATGGTGGTGAGACCTACAATGCTTATGAAGTAGAATGTTGGGCTATAAAAGAGAAACATAAAACTAAATTAAGTGTTGCAGAGATGAGAATGCTTAGGTAGATGAGTGGCTTTACACTTAGAGACAAAATGTGAAATGATCGTATCCGTGAAAGGGTTGGTGTAGCTCTAGTGGTAGACAAGATAAGAGAGACAAAATGTCAAAATGTGAAATGATCGTCTTAGATGGCTTGGTCACATTAAATTTCAACCATTTGATGACACACTTAGAAGAGTAGACGTTTTAGATTTGACTTATGTTAAGAAGGGTAGAGGGAGACATAAAAAGACTGGGGCATGTTGTATAAAAATTGATCTTGATTTACTAGAACTAAATAAAAATATGACACTCAATAGGACATAATGGAGTAAAAGAATTCATGTAACCGGCCACACTTAGTGGGATAAAGGCTCGTCGTCGTTGTTGTTGTTGAGCATTTATAAAAAAAAAAAATAGAAAATATATTATCAATATGATTGATAGAAAAACTTACCGTGGAAGAATTATGAATTAAAGCAATATTGATAAAAGTTGTAGTAAAATACTTGCACTGAAAATTTAGATCCAACATCTCAAATAAATGCTTAACAAAAATGAATGATAATGATGATTTTTGAAGATAAACTGAAACAGTAGGGATGATTCTAATGATAATGATGATAATAAAAGAGTGCAGTTTTAACATGAAACTTGAACAAGGTATATTTTAAATTGAGTTCAAAAAAAAATGCACACAGAATATTTAATTGTATTTATTTAATTCACCCCAGCTTCAATTTTTCCAAAGTTAGGGTTTACATTGAAATGCAGAATATTTAATTCCATGTAATTGTAAATGAAATAAAAGACAGTCGTAAGAGAAGAACTGGATAAGTTTTATTCAAGTTAAAAATACTAGGGGCATTTAATTACATACAACTTGATCCTTATGTATTTACATATCTAAAACCTAACTTTGCTTTTTACATTTATACCACCCCAATCTTTCATATCACATAAAAATACCACATTTTACTTAAAAAGTGAAATACACCTTTTCATGCATAGTTAAGGTAGCATATATGTAAAAATTTAAGTTCAGGTGTTCATGCATAGTTAAGGTGGCATGTAAGTAAAAATTTAAGGTGTTAGATATGTGAATACATAAGAACTGAGTGCTATGTATGTAAATATTCCAAAATACTAATTCCAACTAATTTACAGATAAAGCTAGTCAATTAAGAATCACATAAAAAATACAGCAGACACCACCTGGCGGTGTCCCACAGCACATGTTCCTCTCATCAATATGCTCCACTTCAAGTCCGATAAACCATGCCCCAAGTGAAACATCTTCATTTGCAAACTTATGGAGTATAGGCCTAAAAATAACAAAAGCACCCATCAGAACTACACAATCTCATCATTTATCATATAAAAGTCTTACAAACTTACTGATTGATTGAAATATATGTGGCCAGATCCTTTGAGATGGCATAGATTTGGCCGGTCGCATGGCGGAAGTACTTATTTCCTTCTTCTCCAAATTTCCAAAACTCCGGCTCGTGATATTTCACATTCCTATGAATAATGTACACAAACTAGTGAGAAACCCGCTAAAATTTACTGCTTCAGAGACGAGAAGAGAAGAAAGATTTACTTATTGGCAAGTACTGGACCAGATTTCATGCATCCTATGTAAATTCTGGGCTTCGATCTATGGTGTGCAAGAGTTGCAGCTAGCATACCTGAAATATAGATGAAGGATAGTATATATCAGAATGAATTTCAAAGGATAAAAAAATGTCTAAGTGTAAAGGAATAACTTTTACCAGAGTGAACTCATTAATTATATGAATTTCTAAATAGGCATTTACATACATAGCACATAATTCTTATGTATTTTACATATCTCAAACCTAAACTTTTATATTTACGTATCTCACAACTAAACATTCATATTTACACACACAACACTCAAATCTTTAAGATCACATAAAAAACAGTACCATTACCACTTTTTAAAATTGAAATACACCTTTTCATGAATAAGTTTAAAACACTGTGCTGTGTATGTAAATATAAAAGTTTAGGTGTGAGATATGTAAATACATAAGAATTGTGTGTTACGTAAGTAAATTTCCCATTTTTAAAACATATTTGATATTAATTTGTACCTAAATTGACATGAACATCATCATCCACCTTAACATAAAATTCAGCATCCCATTTAGCAACTGCTGTAGAAAAGAATATCTTTGTTTTTGCTGATAATTCATGATATCCTTCAACATGATCCTAATAATTTACATGGAAGTTATTAGTGAGGAAATGAAAAAATTTAAGCCAAATGGATAAAGTAATTCTCACCAGCCTAATAAAGTCGTTATGCAGCTCTTCTTCCGAGTCTATTGCCCTGTCCAAAATGCTGTTCGATGTGGCACTGGTCAAGAAAAACAATGTAAATTATGACATCCAAGAAATGAAATATAAAATGAGATGCAACTAATGTCATCAGGTGTGGTGCAGCGAAGATAAATGAGGAACATAGAATTGAATAGGCAGTAAGAAAGATTGAAGCTCTTTAGAAGCAAGTGAACTAGCAAGGGTGGACAACAAATCGCAAAGTATTTATATAAGTATGAATCCTTTGTAATATGAACATAAACTTTTTCATCTTACAAAACACTCATAAATACTAAGTTTTGGTAGAATAAGTACCTATGATTGAAAAGGTTTAGGGTTTAGGGTTTAGGGTTAGGGTATGCATGAGATTATTGTCTTGGAGTTTCAGGTTTATGGTTTGGGAGACATTTCCTACCACTCCAATTGTAGGGTTTGAGAGATCACCTACCTCTTGAATCATACATGCTTATCTTTTGTATTTGTGTCAGTTGATCGTGATGTATAATTGTAATTTGATGTTTGAAGAAAAATATTGATTTTCCCTAATTTATCTGGAAAATTGTGACGATTTCTTTGTCAGATCATATTAGAATGAGTGATTAAGAAATCAATTATTATTTTTTATTCATAATTGTGTTATTTTTCTGCATGATTGTTTATATATTTATATAATGTTATTTCTCATTGCATAGATAGAATCAATGTGTATTATGAATAATCTATGGATTGACCTACTCACCACGGCATTGTCACCCCATAAAATAATTCTCCAAACTTTCGATGGAACATCCACAGTAAATTGATCAACAGGTGAAAATTTTGTTAGATACTTCTAATTGATTTAGATTTACTAACAATATCATGGACTATTTAGCCATAAAAAATGTTGTTTTAAACGAATTTAGATCAGCAGAAAGTTCACTATTAGATGAAAATTAGTCTACTTTTCATGAACTTCATTGTAAATTCCATATTTTCCTGTAGCGAATTAAAAACCAAATACTTATATAATCAAATAAAATTTGGCATCTACCTAGTTTAACTAGAGGGCGATAAAGATTAAACATTTTATTGAACTTGTTAAGAACTTTTGGGGGCTAGCTCACATTTCAAATCGAGAATTAAAGTCAAATTTGACTAGATCTTCTTTGCCTTTTGATAGGTAGATCCATTTAGATTCATTTGTTCAAGTTAAAAAATTGGGGAAAACCCCTCTTCTCATTGAACAAAAGAAAACGGTACATTCTTAAAATAGTTACAGTGAATGCAGTATCACAACAACAACAAAAACAAGCCTTTATCCGACTAAGTAGGACCGGCTACATGAATCCTTTTTCTCCACTACGTCCTATTGAGTGTCATATTTTCATTTAATTCTAATAAATTATGAACAATTTTTATACAATATGCCCAAGTCTTTCTAGTTCTCTCTGTCTTTCTCAACATAAGTCGAATCTAAAATATCTACTCTCCTAACTGGATTATCAGATGGTTAACGTTTAATGTAACCAAACCATCTAAAATGACTCTCTCTAATTTTGTCTGCCACTGGAGCTACATCAACCCTATCATAGATATATTCATTTTGCATTTTTACTCCAAGTGTAAAGCATATATTCATTTTGCATTTTTTCTCCAAGTGTAAAGCCACTCATCCACCTAAGCATTCTCATCTCGGCAACACTTAAGTTAGTTTTGTGCTTCTCTTTTAAAGGCCAACATTCAACGCCATAGAGCATTGCAAAGTCTCACCACCATCTTATAAAATTTTCCTTTCAGTCAAAGCGGTACTTTTCAATCATACAATAGGACCGAAACATTCCTCAACTTCAACCAACCAACTTGAATTCTAATAGTAACATCACCATCTATATCGTCATCACTTTGAACAATAGACCCGAGATATCCAAAGCACTCAGACTTTAATAATTCGATCACCCATAGTTACAACTCTGTTACTAGAGAAGCTACTACTAAAACTATATTCCATGAATTTAGTTTTAGTTCTACTCAAAAAAACGTCTTTAGGCTCCAATGTAGACCTCCATAATTCAAGTTTTTCCTGAGCTTTTTCTCTAGTCTTATCCACAAGAAGGATATCATCAGCGAAAAGCATACACTAAGTTACATCCTTCTGTAAATGTTCAATAAGAGCATCCATAACTAAAGCAAAAAGATATGGGCTTAAAACCGATCATTGATATAATCCAACTGAAATAGAAAAATATTTTGTCAATCATCGTTCTATTCGAACACAAATAACAACTCTAATATACATATTTTTAATGACTTGAATATAAGTCATATCAACACCTTTCTTCTCTAGAACTCTCCAAAGGATATCTCTTGGAACCTTATCGTAAGCTTTTTTTCTAAATCAATAAAATAAATCAATAGATCCTCTTTATTCTCTCTGTACTTCTCCGTCAAACCACTCAATAAATGTATAGCTTCCATAGTAGAGCTGCCTGATATAAGTATGTATAGCTACCACAGTAGAGCTGCCTGACATAAATCCAAACTGATTATGAGAAACCTTTGTAATACTTCTTAACCTATTTTCAATTACCCTCTCCCATTCAAAAGTTTGGCACATCAACTTAATTCCTCTATTATTTGCACTCTTGCGCATCCCCTTTATTCTTAAAAATAGGGACCAAAATACTCTTCCTCCACTCCCCAGGCATCTTTTTAGTTTTTAAAATAATATTAAAGAGTTTAGTAATCCAAGAAACTCACAAATATCCTAAATATTTCCACACTTCAATTGAAATATCATTAGGTCCAACAGACTTTCCACCCTTCGTTTTCTTTAAAGCCTCCTCAATTTTTTTTTACTAATGCGATGGTAAACGATGGTAAAAATAAAATAATTAACGATATTAAGATCATTAAAATCCATCGTATTTTCAGAAACTTCATTGAAAAATTTATTAAAATAACTCACCAACCTAGGTTGACTATCTCTTTCTAAGAAAAACACTTTTTGATTTTCATCTTTAATACACTTTACTTTTGTTAAATATTTAATTTTCTTTTCTCTTTATTTGGCTAGTTTATACATATATTTTTTACCCTTTTTAGTACCTAATCTATCATAAATATCACTAAAAGCAGAATTTTTAGCCTCACAGATTGTTCTCTTAGACTCCCTATGATCTATTGTATATTTTTTCCAGTTATTTAAGCTTTTACATTTAAAAAAATTTTTATAACATAACTTCTTATATTTTATCTTTTCTTACATATTATTATTTCACTGCCAACTATTTTTATTTATAAATTTTTTTTTTATTATTCTCTAAGAAAATCTTTTGTCACTTGTTTGATAGTGTTTGTCACTTTATCTCACATAGAATTTGTTTCTTCAAGAACATCCCAAATTATGAAATCTTGAAGTTTACTCAAAAAATATTTTTAATATAAAATAATAATGGAACTAAAGTTCACAAATTACACTACAAATAAAAATCAATAAGACTTTTTGTTAATCAGAAAACTAGATTGCCTCAGATTGATAGAATGCAACTCTATGAATTCCCAGCTTTTTCCTTGCACCAAATAGTTGGTGGCTAGATGAGAGCAGGTCTCAAATGATTTCCATTCCAAAAGGGTCTTTTACACCCAAATTTTTTAGACCCAAGCACACCTTCATAAATATGCGGTCATGCGGTCTAACCCTAGATACATATTTGGTGACTGGGTGAGAGTATGTCTCAAATGATTTCCACTCGAAAAGAGGGTTATTATCAAGCTTACGCATCCTTTACACTCAAAATTTTGAGATCATGGCACACCTTCACAAATATGTGATCATGTGGTCAACCCTAGATACATAATTTTAAATGAGGGAAGGGCCACTCTATTTGTTTGAGTGCGTAATAAGTATATCTTCTTATTAAAATAAGTGTCAAGTATTTAAAATGCGTAAAAATTAGTTGTATTTGTTATGTAAATTTAATGTCTTCTTTTTCTTAATTGTGCTTATTTTTTTGTTTTATTACAGAAAATTAACAGGATAATAAATTGGAGAGGATATGAAAAGTATGGCAATAGTTACTGTAGCAGCTCCAAGAAGTCATTGTATCAATGCCAAAGCGCCACTTTTACAACGTCTGGGCTCCTGACTTTGAAAAATTAAGCCATAAACAAGAGAGCTCAACACCACGGTGCTCAAATGCAACGCCCCGTGCCTGATACAACGCACCGACGCCACATCGTGGCGCCCTTGCGCTACAAACCGACATTGATCAGTTCTAATGATTTCGAAGATGATTTTGGTCAAAATTCTACATAAATGGGGGTGGGCAACTTGGAGACTTCGATGTATGGGTGAGAAATCTGTCAGTTTTGATGCATCAGTTTTCAAAAAAGGTTGATTGCAACCGAAATCTAAAATCCAAAAAAGCAAGCCAATCAATATTTCAATAAAACTGAATCGACAGAACCAAAGTTTAATTCAGTTTAAATAGTTCAATTATGAATAAATCGAAATTTAACTGTTAGATATAATTCACTTATGAACAAACATAAAAAATCACATATGTTGCATGTATAATATCAATTTATATTCATAATCCTCTATTTAATTTCAATTCTTTTCTTTTTCAGTTTATTCGGTTAAATGAAAATTAAAACTAAACCAAAAATTTAAAACCGAAAAACCAAATATTGAGTTTTTAAAAACCAAAAACCGAAATGTATTTTTTAAACCGAACCAAACCGACCAAACTTATTCGGTTCGGTTTGATTTTTTAGTTTTAACTAAACAATGCACACCCTAATTCTAGGGTGGGTGTGTGTGTGGAATTGTGTGTTTGTGAGTAAGAGAGCATGTAAATGACCAATTGGAAGAATTTTTGCAAGGGATCGAGAAAATTTCAAGTGAAGATCGTACCAAGTGTTTTCTTTAAAACTTTCTTTTTTTTTAGTATCAGGATCTTCATATATTTTCATCATTATTTCATAAACATGGTTTGGAACTAAGCCCCAACTCCTTTGTATAGTGTTTGTGTGGAATGTTTGGATCTATCTATA